TTTTTTTTTTTTTTTATCTGCTCGAGCTCGACTCGATAAATATTATAATAGCTCGAGCTCGACTCGAAATCCAAATGCTCGAGCTCGGCTCGAAAATTTTTATGTGGAAAGGTAAAATTATCATTAAGCACCTATTCTAATATATATATAATAAGGGGTATTTTAGTAATTTAACGTGTATATATAATTAAGGGCATTTTAGCAATTTAACGTTTATCTCGACCTGCTCAACGAGCCGCTCGACAAGGCAAAATATGGGCTCGAGTTCGACTCGAGTTCGTGCTCGAGTCACTCGAGCTCGGCTTGGCTTTGGTCAAACTCGAGCTCGAGTCGAGTTTTGACTAGAGCACTCGCGAGTGGCTCGCGAGCTGATTCGTTTGCAGTCCTACTTGGAAAGTTTGATTTTTAGTGTTAGGCAATGCACCACTTCAAATATCTTTGCCTTTTAGACTTATTAAAAAATAATAATAAAAAAAAAAAAACATAAAAAATGATCCCTCTTTTTTGTCATTTTCATGAATAGTGATTTAAATTTATTAATTTTATTTGTTTCATTTCATTTGATAAACGATAATTGCATAGATATGATATTAATTATCAGATATACACATGTCATTCGTTCAATAATTAATTAACTATATTTATTATATTAGTACGTGCTACAAAACACCATTAATTACTAATTACTTTATGCAATTAATATATTTTTCCTTTCTAATATTTTTTTTTTTCTAATATATTTGTTTACCTATTTATATATTTAATAATTTTCAGATAGGATATTTGAAGAAGGGGATAAATCCAGCATCAATAATGCACCTCAACTTTGATTCGAGGTATCTGCCAACGGCTATCAAAACTGGCATAGTCACGGGCATTATTTCTTTAGCTGTAAGTTTTATTATTATTATTATTATTATTATTATTATTATTATTATTATTAATTATTATTATAAATTATTATTATTATTATTAATTATAAATTATTATTATTATTAACATAACGGAAATGGTAAATTAGTAAATAATGATTAAGTTGTTTAAAGTCTAATAAAGCCCATACCTTAAAATGAGCTCGATAATCAAATACTCCATTCTATTTTTATTACTAGTGTGTGGCCTGTGTGATGCACAAAAAAACAATATTATGATTGTGTTATAAATTAAATATACAAACAAAATTAATCAATATTTTCCCATCGTTTTTAAATTATACTGTATTGGACACCGTCCGACCGGATGGACCGAGAACCGATTTATAATCAATCTAGTTCACTTGAATAAAATATTTTATGTTGAATTCGTCGACACCAGTCAGTTGATCTGGTAGGATCGATACAATTTTCTAAATAAATTTGTCAATATTTAAAATTATTTTAAATAAAATTACATATTTAAATAAAATAGAAATTTATAAATTGTTTATCAATTAATTTAAAAATTTGAATTTTGAAATTGTTTAGATATTTAAGTAATACATGTTATTCAAATTTATTAAAAAAATTAATATATATAAGTATATTAAAGCATATTTTTAAATAAAAAATTTAAATTGTATGAGTAAATTGTATGATTATATTAAAGTGTATTTATAAATTAAATAAAGAAAAATGATAAAATTACTATTTATGGATTGTATTAAATGCTGACCTATTTTTTTACTACTAATTTTAGTAAATAGAATGACTCTTTATATAAGTACAGATTTGTCATTCTGGCTTAATTGATCATTGATTAAATAAATGTCGTTTTGACTATTTTGTTCATATTTTTCCATTTTAACCCTTCATTTAATACACAATGTCTCGTTATATCCTATCTCCATTATTTCCCATAACATCCATTAAAGAGGGTTAATATTGACAAGAAAAAAAAATCCTAATTAGCGTATTTCTCAAAACGACAAATAATAAAAATAGGAGGGAGTAATATTTAATTATAATTATTAAATTAACTTTGACAGGAAGGAATAGCCGTGGGCCGAAGTTTTGCCATGTTCAAGAATTACAATATTGATGGCAACAAAGAGATGATTGCTATTGGGATGATGAACATTGTGGGCTCCTGTTCTTCTTGCTACCTCACAACAGGTAATGGGCCTGGCCCAGTTAGTTTAAAACTAAAAGTTCCTCTTCTTCATTACATGTAATTGTTAGGTACAAAATAATTGGCTAATATATATAAAAAAAATAAAAATAAAAATAAAAATAAATTATTTTCTATAATTTTAGGGCCATTTTCACGGTCAGCGGTCAACTTCAATGCGGGATGCAAAACTGCAGTCTCGAATATCGTGATGGCAATTGCAGTTATGATAACTTTGTTAGTGTTGACTCCGTTGTTCCATTACACGCCGCTCGTCGTTTTGTCATCGATTATAATTGCAGCAATGCTCGGACTCATTGATTACGAGGCCGCCGTTCACTTCTGGCAAGTCGACAAGTTTGACTTTCTCGTGTGCATGGGCGCATACGTCGGTATAGTATTCGCCAGCATCGAAGTCGGTTTGGTCATGGCCGTAAGTACCTATATCCATACATCTCGATAAATAAACTTTTTTAATAGAGAAATTGGTCTCGCTATATACTAAAAGAAATTCAAACTTTCGACCTTTTATCGTATCTCTCTCTATATATATATATACACAAACAATGGCAACTTTTTTTTTTTTTTTTTTTTTTTTGGCAAAAGAAAAATTTGTATTATGAATAGTTGAATATGTTATATGAATATTGGGTATTAATAAATAATTGGATTAATTTTTGCAGATTGGGCTATCTATATTGAGGGTGTTACTATTTGTTGTTAGGCCAAGGACTTTGGTGTTGGGGAATATTCCAGATTCCAATGTTTTTAGAAGTGTTGATCAATATCAAAATGCAATTAAAGTGCCTGGGGTTTTAATTCTTGAAATTGATGCTCCAATTTATTTTGCAAATTCCAATTATTTGAGAGAAAGGTAATATCAATATTATAGAAACATCCCAATTTCTTTATTAATTGTTATTATTAATATATATTGGTTATTTTTTTTTTATTTAATTATATTAGGTATTTTTGTGTAATTAATGCAGAATTTCAAGGTGGATTGATGATGAAGAAGACAGAATAAAATCATGTGGAGGGACTGGATTGCAATATATTATACTAGACATGACTGGTCAGTAATTACTAATTAGTACTCTCTCACATATGTGTAAAAAAATATTTGCAAAATCCACCCCTGATCAGTCATAGACTTATAGTCCAAGTACAAAAACTGCATTGATGAACCTTATTTATGGGTTATTTTTTAAATTAACCTAAACTACACATTTTACCGATAATTTCTCTAATATGTTTTATTAGCCGTTGGAAACATTGACACGAGTGGGATTAGCATGCTCGACGAGGTCATGAAAATCATCGACCGGAGAGGGCTCAAGGTAAAAACTTTTGGTTTGTCAATATTTTGCGAATCGGTCCTTGTAAAATATTGTATTTACAATTGTTGAGATTGTTTAATTGACGATTTTATATATTTTTTTTCAGCTGGCATTGGCCAATCCGGGGGCTGAGGTTATGAAAAAGTTGAACAACTCGAAGTTTCTAGAAAGAATGGGCCAAGAGTGGATCTTCTTGACTGTAGACGATGCTATTGGGGCATGCAATTACACGTTAAACAATTGCAGGTCCAAAATGAACAATAGTGATGTATTAGGAAAATATAGTGATAATGTGTGAAGTTAAGGTAAAATTTAATTGAATAAAGTGTGTGAATTTTAGATATTGGAGAGATTAATAATGCAAAGGCATTTTTTTTTTTTTAATAATAATTGTACCGCGTGTAATGTGCTTTGAATATTTTGTGTACTAGCTAGTAGCTTGCATCAAATAATCAACACAATAATACTCCCTCCGTTTACTATTAGATGTCGTTTTGACTTTTCTGATTCATCCATTTTGTTATGTATCTAGACATAAACGACATCTAATAGTAAATGGAGGGAGTAGTAAATAGTTAAATACATTGTAAGTTGATGAAATTGAAAAAAGTTATTAAATTGATTAAATTCGGCAACAAACTAGTGTAATTTGCTCCATACATTTTCAATAGAAATACATATTTTCCATTTGAAATTTAGTACTAAAATTTTAGATTGATTGTACTTAAAAAGACAGATTGACAGTCATGCCCAGAGACTTAAGCCTTGCTGCAAAATTATCATGTCAAGAATATGGAAATTGATTTGATTAAGTATATTATCATCTATGGTAGTAGGTATTAATCTAATTAATCATATTCACTATTTATAAGTACTTAAACTATTTAATAAAATAATAAGAATAACATATTTAAATCATAATAACTTAATAATTAATTTAAAATATTAATAAAAGTTTCTAAAAAAATGTAGTCAATTTAACTATAAAAAGGCACATCCCATTGAATATATCATATAATACTATTGAAAATTTAAATAATATATTAATAAAATAAAATTTGATGGTAGGTGCAATTCATAATTATAAATTTCACCTTAGAAATATTTCTGGACATAAAAAAATATTCAACGTTTAAAAATATATAATTTTTTCTTATATACTATTTTATAAAGAAAAAAATAAGTTAATAAAAAAGCAATGTATAATAATATAAAGTATAACACTTGGTAATTATGGAAATACATAATATATCTAATCATTCGAATAGATACTATATAACGCATTATATAGGTTGAGAATATGAATTAGAGAAATAAATATAAATAAAAATAAAAATATAAAAATAAAATATTTAATCATAAAAAATTATATGTTGCATAAGGATTAAAGTTACTAAAAATTAAAATTTATTTATCAAAGTTTTGAACATTTAATGCACTTAATAATTATAGCGGAAGATAAATATTATGGGCTAAACGTTGGTCAGTTATCAAGTAATACGCAAATTATGAATTATTGAAAAAATTATAAGACTATGATAAATGGTAATTTTATCAGTACATACAAGTAATTTGTATGCAAATATCATATGATCTTATACATTTATAATATTTTGTAAACTAATAAATAATAAAAGTTATATATTAAATAGTCAAAAGCTACAAAAAAGAATATATAACAATAAAAATTAACAACAATAGTAAATAAATAAATGTCATATTATTACTTAATAGGATATTGCGGAGAATAGAATTTCATATTGTCTTAAATAATTTTACAGTATTTAAGTAAAAAATATTTCTTTCTATGCACCTCGTGCATCGCACGGGTATCAACACTAGTTACATATTTATATAATGAATGCTAAAAGCTAAGGGAAGAACATTTCTATCTTTTACAGTTATATGGGGATGACCAGATTCAAAATTTTAGAAGAAGCCCTTAAAACATTTCAACATTAATCATTCCACACATCACCAAATTCCATGGACAGAATAACTGTTATATGTAATTTAATCATCATAATACATGCAGGAATAAGTTATAGTAGTATAACATATGAATTCAATGATTTCACACGAATAAATTAATAAATTGACAAGATTTCAAAATCAATAAAATAGAAAATTTAAATGAGATACATAGTTGACATATTCCATCAACATGTTTTCTTATTAATACGTGAGAAATTTTATATTATTTTGTAATTTAATTTACATATTTAAATATTTGATTTGAGTGTATTATTATAGTTTTCTCACTTATTTTATTTTGTGAACGGACATACACCAATATTCGATTTTATGTCTATTTTACAGTTAGGGACTATGTGATGATATGGCTAATGAGGTGGATTACAAGTTAATTTGGTTAAACACACGC